TTTGCATCCGTTTTAGAGGGTGCAGAAGCTAATCCAAGCATTTAAAACCATTTTTGACCCTTTTATGACACACTTAAATTTGCAAAAATTGACTTCGCAAAGCCATTGAAATGTATTGAGTCGGCTTCAATACATTCCAATGGAGGAAACATTGTATCGTTTAACAATGTTTCCTATGGGTTTTTTCGCTTAAGGACGCCAATCCGTGCCTATTGGAACGGATTAACCGGTTTCCAATGCATTCCTATGGGAAATGGTGTTTCGCATAAAGTTTTTTTCGCATAAGGTTTTTTTTTTTTTTGGAACCAATTAAAAACGTTATGCGAGGCACCACTGTATTATCAAAGAATGCTCCTGAAAACAGAAACAGTATCTTTAAATGAAGTCAGTGAGATTAGAATTTATTTCCTGCACACTTTTATCAAGGTTTTACAAAGTTTAAATAAATAGCTGTATCTCAAACTATAAGCATGTAATTTATATTGTGAAGTGTAACTCAAGTTTAGACTTACTGAGCTCTGATTCTATCAAATTCCTTCATTTTTGCCAGGGTAATTTGCTTTTGTTTTTGTAAATCAGATGAAGTTTTCTTTAATTTGCTCAGAAGGGAAGCAAGGGAGCTGTCTTGTTCTGCTACAGTTTGTTCCATCTCTGCTAGACGAATTAGATGTTTATTTGCTGGTACAGCTAAAGAAGGCTTTTTCATCAATTCCTGTAGAAGAAAGTATATTTTAGGGAGAATAAATATTTCACTATTTACTTGATATCACCACTTTTGTTCTAAGTAACCTAGATGAAATTTCTTCTAGATACAAATCTAAATAAGATTAATTGACCTTCTCATATCCTGCATTTCAAGCACACACCTGAATCTAAATTAAATTACTGAACAAAATTGGCAATTTTTATTGGCAATTTCAGCATCTTATTATCAAAAAGAATTTTAATATGGTACAACAGCCCTGCTGAACGTTATGGAAAAGCTGTTTGAAAAACTATCAGTGAGACCTATTGTGGAGTAAACAGTTTATCACTATACTAAACATGAAAAAAGACAGTTTCTCTTTGCAGTATATATATACGAACATTCTTATGAGCTTGATAGATCAAGATGGTACATTAAGATGGAAACCTAAAATGGTGACTGAAGAGTGACAGAGAAATCATTGCCAACCCTGAAGTAAGCAGGGTTGTTTCAGTTAAAAGGAACTCCATGGATTCAGTTAAAAGGAACTCCAGTGTACATCAAAGCTGCAAGGGGAAGAATCATAATGTCTATTAATTCTGCCCACCACATTTCAACACCCTAGGATGCCTTCTTCCCCGCAACAATATTTCAGAACTGAACCGTCAAAATTAGCTTGGGGGAAGAGGGGTGAAAGGTCTGCAAAACACAGTTCTATAAGTCAACTTCTACTACAGTTTTCTGAATCCAGGCCAAAGTACTGTAACATTAGCAGCAGCAGTTTCTCAAATCCAACAACATTCTTGTAAGCATCCATCAGTGTAAAGGAATCTTCTTCACCATCTCCTATGGAGCCTCCATGCTAATTGAAAATTTCATCCAAGCTTCCTAAAGCAAGTTTTAAAGACATGGAACATCTTGCAGAAGAGGGGGAAATTGCCCCTGCTTTGGGTTCTGCCTGACAGAAGCAAACCTGTCAGCAGATTAAAAGTGGTAGATTCCCTCTAACAATAACTGCCATGACAGTTAATAATCATATCAGCTGCCCATTTCTTTTTCCCTTTTGTGACCTAAATACTCAAACTTTTATCTTACGATTAATCCTATCTATAGTACACCTACTGACACAATGGGATTTAAACAAGAATTCACTAACAGTTCAGCCATTAAATCAGTATATCTAGTCCCTACTTGTGTCTAGCAACAAGGCACAGGTTTCATTTTTTAAAAAAACATACTTACTAATGCAGTTTGCTTAAATTTATTAAAGGAATTGTCTGTATGTAAATCCAATTTTTGATGTAGCATTCTTAGGTCTTCTTCATGTTTCTTTGCAATTTCCTCCTGTTCCTAAGTAATACAGAATACACAGTACTTAGTACTATTGATTTGCATATTACTACTTTATTATCATCATCATCATCATCATCATCATCATCATCATCTGTAAACTTAATTCTGATTTATGGTGGTCCTTTTCAGGGTTTTCTTCTGGCACTTCTGGGACTATGCAGTATGTCCAAGGCTAAACAGGCTGGCTCTTCTGCAGGGCAGAGCGGAGAATCAAATTCCCAACCTCTGCCTCTACAGCCAGGTGCCCACCTCACTGAACAATCCAGCCAGTTGTAGTACATTCCTTCTGATCATAAATACCTCTCTGGCTTTGGCTAAAAGATGTTGGTATTTTTTCAACACTTCCTCTTTTTGATTTAATCTTGCTTGCATATTTGCAATTGTCTGATGTGCAATTTTCAGGGCATGAGGAGGCTCTTCTTTCCGATCAATCTCTGCTATTATTTTCTCTCTTTCAGATGATGCTGGTAAAGAAAGTCTTAGTTCATTTATGACCCTGTCCCGTGACAAGATATTTTTCTCTGCTTTCCATAAAGCAGCTTCTTTTTCTTTCAGTTTCTGCAATAAAAGTAATTATAGCTGTGAAAATGATCATAAAAATAAATCTGATAACATGTGGATTTTATACCACTATTTTTATCACTGACATCTTGGATTAAATATTTGTATTTTTAAAACATAAGTATTAAAAATTACTGCCATAAATTGTATAGCAGCAGGCAGAAGGGTTCTATCAGCGAAAATCCTATTAATTATGTCTGCCAGAATAACTCCATTGGTGTAACTTCCAGCAGCAAACTGTCACCACAATTAAGAAGTCAGTAAAAAGATTTCATATTACATAGCTGTATGACTTGGTGTGCAATAGAAAGTATATACACTGACTTCTTAACTTCAGCAACTCAACCTTGAATATTATGACAACAGAGTAGTACCAGTATAAATATGCAATAGGATTCTGGTCATTCTATTTCCACCCTCTTGTGTGCTTCCCATACACATTTTGTTGGGATTGGCAATGGTAATTTGCAGACATTAAAGGCTTCCCCAGGTTGAAAAGGATTCCAAGGAAGACTTGAAAAAATTGAGGGTGGGGGGAAGAGAGATTAGAAACTTTTTATTAAGGATAAAAGGCCCCAGTTGATGACATCATCAGACTTATGCACACAGAGCTGTACCAACAGGATTCCAGCTGAAAATAACTACTAAGCAACTTTATAAAATCTTCAGCCCACTACCCATTCTATACCTCTTCTAAAGATCTGCAGGTGGCCTGTATTTCCGAGATTGTTCGAACATGTTCTCTAATTTTCCTTACAGCTTGCTCAAGCTGATGTGGAAGTGGCAAACTAGGATCTGGAATGGATCCTGTCGCTTCATCAAACTGTAAATGAAGGGAAAAAAACATAAAAGGCTGCTCTGTTTCTGATAGTCAACACAAACACTAATCCAATTCAAATAAAATCAAAATGAGTACCTTCTGAGCTGTGCTCAATAAATCTTTTTGTTGACGTTCATATAAATCTAACTGGCGTTCCAATTCTACTTCTCTTTGATCCCAGGCCATCTGCCGCTCCTCATGAAACTAAAAGTTTAGACAACATTAATAAGAATTTTACAAAAAAGCATCTGAGCCAGTACAATTGTATCACAGATCACAAATTTCTAACCTTAAAATGAAAAATATGTGACGGCTTTAAATCCAGTATCACCAGCAACATTCCTAAAATTGTATTCTTAAAACTTTTAAACACAGTCACACAATGCCGTATATGCTTTTCTGTACCTTGTTCTGCTGTACAAGTTCCTCCTCCAAGTTACTGATTGTATGTTCATATTCAGAAAGGATATTGTTCAAATATTTAATTTCTTCATTTTTCTTGGCTAATTCACGGTTTAATTTCAGTTCCTGAAGACGTAGTTCTTCAATTTTCATATGCCACTCAACTACCTGATAATATATGATTACTGGACATTATTCAATAATGAAATTGAACCGTTTCCAGTACAGCAATTTAGTAGCAAACTATGGTAGGAAAAACTGCTATGGCACTTCAGCAGATTAACTGGATCACTGTTGGAAGAGATCTGATAGGAAAATATCTACTTATCTAATACGATGAAAAGGTAATAGATATAAAGGTCTAATGTATTAGGCATAAACTTAAGCTGTGGTCAATCCCTGCAACACCAACCAGTCCTCAAATTCAAAGGAATTTGGGATGAAAAGGTAATAGATATAAAGGTCTAACAGCTGAAATGTATTATGGCATAAACTTAAGCTGTGGTCAGTCCCTGCAACACCCATTGCAGAGCAAATAATTATGATTGAAAAATTAAACATCAGACATTCTCGATACACTAACACAGTGGTCCCCAACCTTTTTGAACTCGTGGACCAGTTGGGGGTACGGGGTCCGTGTGCCAGGGGGCAGGTCACCCCCCCCACGCATTCATGGATGACGTGAGGCACTCTCACAGGGGGTGTGGCAGGGCATGCTTGTGAGGGTGGGCAGGCCGTGCATGCATGAGGGTGCGTGTATGCAGGGTGGATGGGAGATCTGTCTCCACGGCCCGGTCCTGCCAAGGCCACAGACCAGCACCGGGCCGCAGACCGGGGGTGGGGACTCCTGTACTAACACACATCTAATGGATACTTTTGTACTCTGTTCTAGATTAATAAAATGAACACACAGATAATTAAACATTAATATAGAAGAACATGAGTGCTAGAGTAGTGACAGTGGTAGGTTAGAACAAACCTTCATTGAACTTTTGTATTGGAACCACTTCATATTAAGGATTATTTAAACTCACAATTATATTGTATCCCCAATTTCACGGGCAACAGCCTACTATTGTAAGCAAATAAGAACTGTGCTGGATCTGAACTAAACTGTCTCTTTAGTTCAGCATTTTGTTCACCCATGGGCTAGATGCAGGACATAAGCACAACAGCTCAGTAAAGCAGGTTATATAGAGCCATTATGACTACTAGTAGTCTTCTCTCATCATGAACTGCCTTAATCCTCTTTTGAAGCCATCGAAGAACAAAGGAAGTAAGACCCCATGGATCACTGCACTGCGCCAAGGACTAATCAATCAACATAAACAACAAACTGAATTTGAGGTGGGGGAACAAAAATATGGAACAACAATGTTCAAAGTGGTACCTCAAGTTAAATGTGTCCCATCACAAACCTTTTGCGCTCCTCTTGTGTCTTTTAACGTGGCAGTGAGTTCTTCTAACTCTTTTAGTTTCACCTCCAACTCCAGTGTTCTGTTCTCTGCATTTCGATGCTCTTGCTGAGCACGTTGGACTTCCTCCATAGTTTTTCTTTTATCATTCTGAAGCTGAATCATGGTCTTGGAAAACTTCTCCTGTTCAGCTAGGGGTAAAGCACCACTGAATTGCCTCCGCAGTGACTGAACAGTCTGGCGTAGGTGATTAGCTCTATTCCTCCCCTCAAGTCGTGCATAATATAATGCTTGCTCTTTCTCATCCAGTTTCTGCTCTAGGCGCATATTAGTAACTTCTGCTTTCTGGAATTTTGACACTGCAGCCTCTAGCTTGGATTCAGCAGTAGCTCCACTAATCTGAAGAGCCACAATATGTTGATGTAATTTTGCAATAAGTGTTTTCTCATCCGACTGTGCCTACAGGCAAAATAAGATACCATAAAATACAGAAGATCAATTGTGTTTCTACAACATATATATGTGAAATTGTGGCATAATTACTGGTTATCCATTATTGTAGCAAGGTCCAGACCTGATAGTCCAATATCTGCATTCTGAGTGATTCCACTTCTTTTTCTCTGGATTGCTGGTGATTCTCCAAAGCAGCAACCTGCATCTTGGCAATGTCAGAAAGCTCTCTTAGCCTATCGCAATAAAAGTGAAAACACTTCCAGTGAATAGTGGTTGGAGCAATGTTATTTGTTTCATTAGTTATGAGCAAAATTAAACTATTTCACATGAGTCAGACCATCTCTTAGATCAGCACATCAAAAACTTCAGAGTTATGAAGGTATCAAGAGTTTAGTACATTGTGTGAGCTTTGAGAGATGCCGTGGCCACTGGAAACCATGGGCATGACTACTACCACAGTATAGCTCCACAGCTCCCTGAGGAGAGGGTCTAGTCTCTTCTTGCTTATGGAGAGGTCTGGTTCATGGCAGGTGGTCACAGAATACTGCACCTTGAATTATTTTCCAATTAGGTGTTTGAGGATTCTATACAAATGAAAAATGTGTTTAAAAGCCACAAAACCTGTTTTTTGCCCCACTCACAGAACTACATGGTATGATCGAATTACATAACAATCGGGTAAGTTATAGACCCACAACATATTGCATGATGTATGTCTTGATGTTTTTAGCTGTGATAAAGCAATATTTTCTAATATCAGAAAAAAACATACTTATTAATAGTAGTCCAAACATCAGTTCAATTCAGCTAAATTGTATGGGTTTATTTTAATTGCCTATTCAGTTCTATTTATTTTATTCTATATTCTTTTTCATACTTTAGAGAAACCTGAGAAATCTGAATGAAGAACACTGTAAAATTCTTGAAATAAAACAATTCAGAAACTGCATTTTGAAGAGAGGTGAATACACCAATTTTAGAGTTCTGTTTATAGAAGCTATTTCCAGAGAACTCCAAATGCCTCATAAAATTTCTCCAAATTTGCTGAGCAATTTGGAAATGAACTGCAGCAGTTATTTTTTAAATTGTTAATATATAAGGAAGGGAGGGAAGCTATGAAACTTGTTCTGATAGTAGTTTCCCAGCATGCTCTGGCCTTCTTCCACTGAAAGCTGCAGTCAAAGATGCATGACCACTTTAAAACTTACTTTGACACCTCAATCTTTAGTTCTGTTTCACTTTTCTCCAGATCCATTATTCGACATCTGTCTGCTTCACTGACTGCTTTGCTCACACTGCTTGACAGCTCATCTCGCAAGGACTGTTCCACTTTCTGTGCTTCAAGGTTGATTTTTGTAAGCTAAGATAAAGGTTCAGCAAATATATTTGAACTTTTAATGCAATGTTATTCAACCAGTACAAAACAATTTTTGCACATGGGTGGCCATGTGATCCAGAAACTGCCAACTCTTCCTTTTAAAACACATGCTAGAAGGATCTTGATTGTTTTCTGTTCCACCTGTATTTAAAAGAACCAAGCAATTTCACCTCATATGCCCCCTTCATATGTTACTAGCTATATATATTTTTTGGAGTGTGGATATACTCAGTGGTTTAAGTCTCTGGATGCAAAGCCAGAAGTTAGCCGCCTAGAGTGGACTAGATAGGCGGGGTATAAACAATAAGTAAGTAAGTAAGTAAGTAAGTAAGTAAGTAAGTAAGTAAGTAAGTAGGGAGTTTGAGTCCCACTGTGCTTCCATGGAAAAGAGCCAGCGTGTAGCCATGGGCAAGCTGCACAGTCCCAGAACACCCCCAGAAGAAGGGAATATAAACTACTCCTGTTCTTTTTCTACCTTGAAAATCCTGAAAAGGGTTACCATAAGTTAGAACTGACTTGATAGCATATGATTATTATTATGATATATCAGGTATCATAAGAAATAACTGTGACATTATATAAAATGAGAAATCAAATTAACCTATGTACAGTGGTGCCTCGCATAACGAGTGCACCGTTTAACGACGAACCCGCATGGCGATCTAACGACGAATCCGCATAGCGATCTATTTTTTTTGATCGCTAATGCAATCCCATTGCTATGTTTTAATAGCCTAAACATCGCATTACAACGATCGGTAAGCGTTTCGCATTGCGATGTTTGCGGAACAGCTGATCGGCGATTCAAAAATGGCCGCTCGGTGCCCAAAATGGCCGCCGCAACCATTTTCACGCAATTTCTTCACTTACCAAGGCGGCGAAAATGGAGGCGCTATGGAGGATCTTCGCATAACGGTGAGTTTTCTCCCCACAGGAACGCATTAAACGCATTGCGATGTTTCCGGATAGCGACGATTAATCCGGAACAGATTAACATTGCTATGCAGGGCACCACTGTATTAAGGCAACAAGGTGCCAGTTTTAATTACAGAAAGTAGTTACTAGGCTATGTACTTAGGAACAGTCCAGAAAGAGAATCACAGAAACTAAATGATATTTCTCAGAGAACAAAAGAAGAGTTCAGGAATATTCAACAAAGCCCAGAAGAGCAAATTATTAGTGGACTACCCGAGGCGGAGGAGATAACACACTGGGAATTCTAAGCACTATCTTATACACTTGAGACAAATGATATAAAAAAGCTTGATGGCCAACCTCAGCAAATTTTGCTTCTAGTTCAATGTTGCGTTCTTCTACTTGCTTTAATGTATTCTGTAAGTGTTCATACATTTGCTGGGAGTGCTCTGCCCTCTGCCTTTCATTTAGTTCTTTCATTTCCAGCATAGTAATTTTCTTAGAAATAGAAACAATCTCTGTGTTGGTTATAGCTTTTGTAGCCTTGTCTGTAGTACTGTCTCCTTCTACAAATCAATAGTATAACACCAATCTTTTGTTATACATACATGTTTAGAAAAAGATACACAACATAAAAGTCTAAATTACGGAACTACAAATTAATATTTTTTCAGTATCACTGAACACTATCTTTTGGCACAGTAAACAGCAGTAATTGTGTTTTTAACTGGCCTTAGCCTAATCAAATATTAAGATATCATAAAATCTGGGAATCCATGTGTTGATTGTCTACTACAGATTTTAGATTCAGGACTGGCTGTTATTGGTTCTCTCTCTTTTCATCAGCTTTAGAATGGAGTGGGCAGCTATCTGCAACCACTTTCCAGTATCTAATGTTAGTGTTGTGCTCACTGAATCAGTTTCCTTAGCATGTCTTACAGCACCTTTAAGACTAAGTATATCTTATTTTTTATAATCTTTTGTTTGTCCAAGCACATATCTTCAGAAAGTCCCTCCCCTTCCTCATTACTTGAAATAAGCCCCAGACATCCTGAAAGATTTGGACGTGGCACAAAGGGCTTCATGAGGGAGGAGAAAAGGAATATGTTCTGTCACATTCACAGAAATATGCTAGTGCAATGTGAGATCCTGCCCATCATAAGTAAAGAAGATATGAAATCTCACTGAGGCACTAATTTCAATATAGAGACTATTTTTTGAATAAGACAATGTGCTTGAAGGTGAGCATAAAAGACTCTCACAGATTACTTTTATGATATATTCAGATTATGTTCTTATTCAGTAAATACAAAGCTAAAAAAGTTACAAAGCTACTTAAGACTTTTATTAAGCTTTGAAAATAATATGAAACAAAGGAGACACTACTTAAGACTTTTATTAAGCTTTGAAAACAATATGAAACAAAGGAGACACATTAATTTCAGGAAAAGAAGGGGGAAAGTATGTAACTTTCCTCAGGTTTTAAAAAGGTAATCAACTCCAGCTTTTACTAGATGAGGATAAAATAGTCCTGGAACACACCCTAGGACCCTTTGGAGACTGACCCTGCCTCCCCTGGGGACCAGAGGGGATGAAATCGCCACCTTCTGGGGCTCTTTTGAGGGTTGGGAAGCTTTAGAAGAGCCCCAAAAGGTGGCGATTTTGCCCCCTCTGCCCCCCGGGGGAGGCAGGGGAGTCTCCAAAGGGTTCTGGAACACACCCTAGGACCCTAGGACCCTAAGGCGTGTTCCATAAGATGGACCTCTCCATAAGGCGCACCAAATTTTAGAAGCAGATTATTTTTTTCCTGTTTTCCTATCCTAAAAATTTGGTGCGTCTTATGGAAAGGTGCATCTTATATAGCGAAAAATACGGTAATTTCAGGAAAAGAAGGGTGAAAGTATGTAACTTTCCTCAGGTTTTAAAAAGGTAATCAACTCCAGCTTTTACTAGATGAGGATAAAATACAGAACTTCATACTATTAAACATGTAGAACAAGCAGTGGGCTTACCCAACTTTGCTATTTGCTCCCAAGCTTGCTCAACTGTATGAAGCTTCTCTTTTGTAATTTCCAATTCCTTGTTTAAACACTCCAGCTGTTTTTTCAGGGATGCATTCTCATGCTGTGGCAATATATGAAACAATGTTACAAAATAATTTTAGTGTCAACTTGGAGGGAAATAAAGTTTTGCACAATGACTGACAAACCATCATGACACTAACAAAAAGACATCTGCCAATAGCAATGACACTCTTGAGTCAATAAGAAAGGGGGGAACTAGAAAAGGGAGTCTTTTTCTCATTTTCAAGTTCTTTCATAGATTCCAAAGGTTTTATTTAAATGAAAGGGGGTGTGAAAATTATGTGGGTTTTTTTAGTTCACCTCTCACATTAATTGTTCCTCCATCTAAATCACCTGGGAACTTCCCTGCAGCTGCCAGGCTGTTCACTCTGCTCAGCCCACTCTTCCTCCCTCTGCTCCTTCGCTTGATGCCACTGCTGCTGCCAACCGTGCTTTCCCCTCACCCTCCTTCCTTTGCTGCCACCATCCTGCTCCTTAGCCTCCAAGGGCTAAGGGAAGGAGCGGAGGGAGAAAGAGTGGGTCTGTTTTCCTCCCTGCCACCATGCTCCTTAGCCTCCTTTTCTCACCACCACTGCCACCGTACTCCTTAGCCTTTTGGCAGGCTGAACAGCCCAATTTCCTCTCCTCTCCTTCCCTTGTTCCCACTGCCACTGCCACTACACTCCTGGGCCTCTTGCCAACCCTTTCAGACTCACTTTCCTTTCCTCCTCATTCCCTCACTGCTGTACTCCTTATCTTCCTGTCAGCCTAGCCTTACCCATTGCTGCCAAAGAGAAAACAAACCAAAATGAACTGAAAGAGCTGCCACTTTCCCTAGTAAGTCATAGGAGAAGTGCCCCACTAGCAAAATATAACTGAAAGATGCACCCCCTAAAACAGACCTGGGCAAAGTGCGGCCCACGGGCCACATACAGCCTGCGAGCTGCTCCTGTCCGGCCCGGCTCCAGTCACCCACCACGGCAGTAAGCAAAACTAGCAAGATCCAACGGTGGGATCTTGCGAGTTTTGACTGTTACTCTTGAGCCGCAGGCTGCGGAGTCTGTGGCTCAAGAGGCCAGAAGCAATCCTTGCGCAGGCAACGTGATGCCACATCATGTCGCCTGTGCGGGATAGAAAACAGTCGGACAGGAAGGCCGCGGAGGAAGAGGACAGGTGAGTTAGCTCAGTGTCAGTGTTTTTTTCCCCTCCCCCCCACGTGGTAACAAATTACAACACTCACATAGTTAATTCCCTAAAAAGTAGTTCGCTCACCACAGGCCCTCACCCAATGGGTTTCATTTTATTTTTAAGTAAAATTGGTTTGGACCCCGAACACAGTTCAGATTTTTCATGTGGCCCCCTATAGAAATTGCCCACCCCTGCCCTAAAAGAATCCAAATTTAAATGGAAATGAAAGTTTCTCATGTTTATATCTCTATCCATCCAAAGGACACATAGCGACTTTAGTTTTCACAGAGTAGCACTGTGCTTTTCCTTTCTAGTCCTGCTAAAAATAAAGAGAGTGGAATCTCTTGTTGAATTTGCACTGAGACCTTAGAAATTAAGTAGAGGGCTACAAGACAGGAATCTAAAGTTATTTCAAGCTAACACAATGCAAGCAGTATTACCTCTAGGTGCTCCAGATTAGCTGTTCGTTGAATAAGCAAGTTGTCTTTTTGTAGCATATCCCTATATTTAGCCGTTAAGTCATTATATTGTTTATTAGCCATTTCCAGCTCATTGAGAGGAACACTGTTATCCAAAACCTTTTGTAGTACTGATATCTTGAAGGTTGCCATTTCCTACATAAAAAAGAGGAATATGTTTACAGCGGTGCCTCGCAAGACAATTTTTCCATGGAAATAGCTATCTTGCGAAAAAAAAGTCTTGTGAAACCCAGTTCCCCATTGGAATGTACTGAAATCTATTTAAAGCGTTCCAATTGGGGGAAAAAATCACTGTCTTGCAAAAATTGCCCAAAACACAGTTCCCCATACCATATTGGGGAAAAGCAATCCCCTCACCTACACTGCCTTTAGAAATTCAATGGGTCTCAGATGGCCTTCCCCCTCTTTCTCTCTCCAGCAAGAAAGAAAGAGAGTGAAAGGAGTCAAAGCAGCCCCCTGGCTCCTGATAATGGTGACTCCTTTTGCCCTGATCCTTTACCACAAGGGAGAAAAAGAGGAAGAATGCAATACATCACCAGGACTTGCTGCCTTTGCAATAGGGCCTGATGAGGAGAAAGAGAGATGAAAAGGAATCTAGAAAAACTAGGGAAATCACAAGTGCAATCTCCCATTAACACAAATTATGCAGTTGAGTTCCCCCCATTTGGGGAAATCACAGCACACCCAAAATGCAATGGATGAGTTTCCCCCTAGGAAAACCACTTTTATGACATGATACTTCCCCTGGAAGGTATGAGTTGGAATGGCCCTTGCATACCCCCTTTGCTCCCCTGACCCCCCCAAGGCATGGTGACCCCGTCTGCACCTCCCACTCAGTACAGGGCTGCACAGCCCCAGTCCTGCCAGAGGCCAAGAGATCTCCTCAGTGTTTTGGGGTGCCCTGTGGGACCCCCATCAGGTGCATAGGTATTAGCATAAGGTATTAGCATATGCTAATACGTACCTGTGTACTAGAGGATTGTGGGAGGAATACCTAGCCTCTGCTGTGAGACGCTTTGTGAGCCGCTTTGGGTCCCTTGGTGGGAGAAATGTGGCAAATAAATAAATAAATAAATAAATAAATAAATAAATAAATAAATAAATAAATAAATAAATAAATAAAGTGTATGTATGTATGTATGCATGTATGTATGTACACAAAGAAGTGTTTTCCTTCCCTCCATTACAATTACAACCAATACTCCTTACAGTTCCCAGTGGCCCCTAACTGACCTTCTGAAGTACTTCTGCAGGCTTCTACTGCAAACATTTGAGGCAGATCATATGCAAGGCAAGTGTGGCGAACAATGTGATACTTCATTCCATTGTCAGGAATGGAGCAGGCAGTGTGAACCCGCTCCTCTGCTTCAAAAATGCATGGCTTAAACACAAGTAATATATACAGAGTGTGCGAGATACAAAACATACCTTGAACCTTTGCAAATACCCAATCTTTTCTCTGACTGCTGCCTCCATTGATATTAACTCCGCCTTCATGTTCTCATTTTCTTTCCGAAGATGCTTTTCCATTTCAAGTAAGGTTGTGCACTGCCTTGTCAATGATCTTTCATTTACTCGCAGAACAGTCATTTTTCTACTATAGTCTGCAATTAGGTGTTTTGATTCATCACTGTCCTTTTGAAGCACATCTAATAAATTCTGCAAGAAATTTTCAGATGTAAAGGTACTGTATCAGGACACACTGTATTCATATACAGTGGCTTGGGTTTATGTAGCCACAAGATTTCAATTCATATATCAGACCTTTCCAACTTCATCCGAGACTGCACTTTCTGAAAAGCTGTTCCTGAGAGATGGAGTGTCCTCTGGAACAGCGTTTATGAACAAATGTTAGCATCATGTTGACGAGTGGCTATTTGCTCCCAAGATTTACATCAACTCCCTTATGAAAGAATAAATCAGCAATAGGATTCTGGTCAATGTGCTGCATTTTACAGACACTACTTGGTTGGAATCATTTCTTTATGGCAATCTATGCTATAATATCTACATCCAAATAAAGATTAAAAAAATACTTACAAAATATTCTTTTATCTTTATATCATCTTGCTCTTTTTGACATTCCAGCTTCTTTTTTTCTTCTTGTATTTTTTCACTAGTAGTTTGCCAGTGTTCCCTTTCACTAGAAAAGTATTGTTGAAAACATATTTTAGAGTTATATTTCTTAAACAATCTATAAAGTTCATTATTGTAACTATTTTTAAAACCTATATCCTGACTTTCTATGAGAAATGGGGCTAAAGGAAATTTACAACAAGATCAACATATTACACCAGTTAAGCTGAAAGTTCAGGTCAAGTAATTCACAAGCTGATTATTATTTTAAAGAGAATCTGGTGAAAACAAGAGCCTTGATAATTAAGAACTTCCACTTTAGATAAAGCAGTGGCAAGGCTTTCTACAGAAATAATTATATAATGAAAGATAAATTGAAGATTTTTAAAGAATTTTATTAGAAATTATATAATGGAAACAATGTACTGAAAGAGAATATAGAAAATTATATAAATGAGAATATAAAAATTAAATTATTGGAATGTGATAAAAGAATATTAGAAAAAGAGATTAAAGAAGAAGAAATTGCTGAAGTTATTAATAAACTGAGAAATGGTAAAACACCAGGCTCTGATGGATTGGGTCCAGAATATTATAAACATTTTAGTTCCATTTTGATACCTAAGTTAAAATGTTTTATAATAAAATATTGGAAGGAGAGACAATGCCATCTTCTTGGAAACATTCATTAACGATTCTTATCCCAAAACCCAAAAAAGGATCTAACAGATCTGGGATCTTACAGGTCGATATCTCTAATAAACCAAGAAGCAAAGATTGTTACTGCTATACTAGCAAATACATTAAACAGATTTATAGCAAATTATATTAAAGAGGATCAATGTGGTTTTATAAAGGGAAGACAAATGGATGATCTAACTAGACAAGTTTTGAATATTATATATGAGATAAAAAAGAAAAATCAAAGGCAACTGTTTTATCATTAGACATATTTAAGGCCTTTGTGTCGAATGGTCAACATTAAAGCTGCTTATAAAGGGTTGGGGAGTTGGTAAAAGATTTATAGGGGTTATAGACCGATTATATTCAGATAATACTTCAGAAGTAATAGTTAATGATGGTCTAACAGAGCGGATTTTTCTAGGCCGAGGTAGTAGACAAGGCTGTCCACTTTCACCAATATTGTTTGTATGGTTATAGAACTGCTAGGTGATGCAATAAGAAATGATGAATTAATTAAAGGATTAGGAAAAAATGATATAATTAAGATTAATTTATTGGCTGATGATTCATTATTGACTATTAAAAACCCATTAGAGTGTTTTAATTTAGGACTGGGACATATTTTTGAAAGACTCAATTTTTTAATGACTCCAGATGCTTGCATTGTCAGAAGGATGAAGAGGTCACACCGTTTTACCTCTCAATGCTATTATTTAATCCCTGGAATATACTGACTATTTTGCCTGTGGAGCCAATTTAAAGTGCCAGTTTTGGTCATTAAAGCCCAAACTGTTCGGAAACAGATTATCTGAAAGATCATCTCATATACAACTACTTTGACCTTACAACTGTCTACTCAAATCAATAAGAAATACTAGTGACAGTATTTTGGGTGGCAGCCTTGTACCAATGGAATGGCTTTCGCCAAAAAACACATAATACTCTGCCTTTCAACACTGAAGTGATATTACAATTATTTACTGTTTGGGACAAGGCTATTCAAAGGATGACCTTCTCTGAAATGAACTTCCTGGAGGCTTCGTCCAGAAGGAACATGCTGAGAAAATATCATGCTTCCTGCAACAGTTAAAAAATGGCTTCCTACTTTTGCCACAATCATTCCTGTTATCAAGTCAAGATTGCTGTTCAGTTTTGAACAGTATGTTTTTCAACTGCAGCAAACAAGTTTATGTCTATTCTTTAGACCCTAGTCTAAAATACAAAGTTCCTGTAATTCAAAAGATTCGGAGCAATAACTATACCTTTGGTATTCTTTATATAGCAAACCTTGCTGATGGCGGATAACTGCAAATTTTCTTTTATATTCTTCAACAGCTTCTTCCAATTTCTTTAGCAACTCCTCCTTATTTTCAAGTTCCTAATGACAAAACTACTGATTAAATATATGACATAACCACAACTTAATGTTACAGAACACTGGATACAATCCTATTGGTTAGTTATGCTGACATAAATGCAGTGGCATAAACAGCAGCAGCAAATTACTGCTAGCTAAGAAGCCATCTCTTGTCTACTTCATTGTCTACTTCATTGTACACCAACCATGTAAATTTGTCCCTGACAAGGGATACAAGCAGCAACTCATTTACCAGCAGATTTTTTTTGCTGCAGTGTACGCTACTGTTTTGCTGCAGTGTACGCTATTGCATTCTAGTCAATAGGACTCTGGCCACTGCATGCCTTCTTAAAATTTCATCTTAGCTTAGAATTTTAAAACATTATACAAGTAGCATAGTATCATTTTTACTATGGATATAAACTTTAAATTATGTTTGATTTTTAATTTTTTCTTACATTCCTCATATAAGATAATTGTTAGTAGTTTCAACTGATTTGTAGAAACTATCTCCAAATTTAAAGACTCTCAGTGAGATATTCAGCTCTCAGGAATACTGTGTGAGAATGCTCATTAAACCATTGCATAGTTTTGAACTCCTATGATCTAAATAAGAAACAATTTGCTCTAGAGTAGAATACAGATTAGTCCACATCTACTATAAAATTTAAAATATTTACCTGCAAAAGGTGTATTAAATATTCATTTTGTGAATTAATTATATTCATGCTAGAAGGAGCCATCGTTTCTGGAAGATTTAAACCTTTGAATACTATATTGGCACCTTCTGATTGCCTCAGCAACTGAATTTCATTTTCTAGATTGGCATTCTGAAAAATAAAGACAAAAAGATAAACCAAAAAAATTGTGAAAATCATACAATCACTGAGCAATTTTCAATTTCCACCTGTTTTGTATCACTGAGTCTATTACCAAATATTATGGCCACAATTCACAAAGCTCATTAAACTCCATTTCAAATCAGATGGCTTTTGAAGTTACACCAATTGTTAAAAAGCAACTTGCAATGAAGGGTGGTAGAACAGCGGTTTGTAGGCATAAAATACTAAAGCATTGTTAGTGCCAGTTAGAATAAACTCGTGGAGTCAATGATTCCTACATCTCATTCATTAGCTGCATCTAATAACTGGATTTATCTCAGAGCTTGCAGCATCATTATATATATGACACATAGCCATAATGCAGTGAGATAATTCCTGCAAAATCACTACTCTTCAATGGCTCAGTCGTGCATCTCCAGCTCAAGTGAGCATAACCAATTTGTCATAGCAGATACTAATTGAGATTCTATAATCACTAATGTGGTCCTAGCAGGGAAAAAGGGTCTCATTTTACTGGGTAATTTTAAAAGCCACTTTTATTTCTCCTTTTAGAATATTATTAAATTCTTATGTTGTGTTTTCTATAACTGGATTGTTTTTATGCTTCTGTTTTTGAGCTCTACTTTGGGCTCTTCTTCCCTTTTTTTAAGCTGTAATTGCCTCTTAGATTTAAAACTGTCTGAACTGGAAATTAAAAGTCTATTTAAAAAATAACTGGTAACTTGCAATTCAAGACAAACTTAAAGAGCTCTGGATAGGAACCAGCTTAATGTTTCAAAGGCCAGGTTAGCCTACAAACCTTTGCATTTGCTTTGGCAAGCTGATTAGAAAAGTTCATTGCCTCTTTCCGAATTTCTCTCAGTTCCTTCCGCAATTCTTCATTTCGCCCTGTAAGTTGATCAATTTGAGCCTTCAAATGCAAGCTGGCATCAAATGTTCCTTCTGCATTCTTCAGTTCAATTGCCTGTCAACAATTTATTCACCAGAACAGACAAGAATCCCTTTTGATAAATTACATATTATGAAAGCCTGAAAAATTATAGGAACAAACACATGGTCCAGATTTTTCCTTTAAACTTGCAAAGAAATATATTGCAAATTCAGTTGGCATAATGATTCCCATGCTAAATATAAACTGACACTTAAAGAAAAGTTGTAGAAGAATGACCATATAGTCTGTTTCATGTGGTATATAACCAGATTTTTTTTAAAAAAAAAATCATTTGCCTTAAATAAATGCACACATATACACAGATTGAGGAATTTACTTCTTTAACAAATCAACACTGCACAAATGAATCAAGTGGATTTTCAACGTAAGAGCAACTTTTCAGTAATTACAGGAATGCTATTAAATAAATAATATGCTAGTACAATACAATAATCTTTGCTTCTGTGCTACACCAGTTTCACACTACACACCACATGGCTAGCTATGATTCCCTAGGCCAGGCTGGAGCATGTACAGAAGACAAGCTCCAGCTACTTACCCTCTGCTTAAATTGTTTGCTTCTACCCTAAACTGCAAGCTAGTCAAGATGAGCTTTTGAATCCAAGTTATAAAGCTGCAAACATTCAATGTGTACAGAAGAGAATGGATGTCTCTAGAAAGGAAGTGAGAACTACCTTTGAGTCCAGCCCTAGTGCAGAATTTTTCTTTTTCTAGTTGCAAGGGATACTTACTGCAGAGTATTAACCATTTAAAAAGAAACAACCAGAAAGAGAGGAAAATCCTTAAAATTCCAACAGCAGCATCTACACTTTTCGGCAGATTCAGCTTTAATATGTGCTCCAACTCTTTCAAGACGTTCAACATGTATATGTATCTCCAAGCTCAATTATCACTTGTTATTTCATTCTTGGTATATCTGTTTTTACACAACACAGTAAACTAACCACCATGAAATCCCTTTAGCAAAGGCAAACAGAGTAAGTAAATAAAATAGGTAAAATGAAGGAAGGAACTTACATTTACTAATCTTTCCAGACTAGGAATCATTAAAGCGGTTTCTCCACCTTTCACACCTGGATCTTTCTGAATATCCTTTATTGCTTGAAGGATTTCTTTCATGCCTTGTTCAAGATGCTTATTTTCTTGCACTAATTCTTTTACTGTAATTATACATATATTCATTCATTCATTCATTCATTCATTCATTCATTCATTCCCTAAATGGCAAACACCCTTGGAATTATATTCTCGAAGGCTTGGAATTGTTTGTGAATTTAACACAAGATCAATGTGTAACAACCGAAATAAATAAATATACAGCATTAAACATTTCTATTTTAAAATGTTAAGAAGTCAGTAAGAAAACTAATTTAAAAAGATGTTCATTATCAAATAAGGTCTTACTGTGATGGCACTACTCGGAGAAAAACCTCCAGAGTTGATCTCTAGAATCAGACAATGCTGTTTACTCCTAGACACTTTGGAGTCAAAACCTGCAAATTCATATACATTTTTACAGCCATGTTTGAAAGGCTAGATCAGACATAATGGTTCTCCAGTCTGCCAGACAGCTCATGGAACCTTGAAAACACTGAGATATTGGGAGCCTGCCACTGTTCCCTACAAGACGTTGCACATGTGGGGCTCTAATGAGCATGTAACAGAGCTGGCACAGGGGAGAGTGGCACATCAGATTGCTAAGGCAACTTTCCCCATCATTTTAACATGATGCAAGCATGTGGGAAGGGCAGCGAGGACAACCTGAGCAGCTTTTTAGTGATCCCACTACCCTCACCATTGTCCCCATTCCCCTCCACATATGCTTACATTAAGTTAAAATAATAGAAAAAGTGAATCATGCCTAACTTAAGTTCCACTGATTTTAATGTATCTGCATTATTTCACTAACATGCATTATTGCACGTTCGTTTTTTAATGACCGAGTTAATTTTGAAAAATATGTATGATTTTTAAAAAAAGATTAATATTGTCCAATCAATTAACTACTACACATTTAAATTAAGCTTCTGCTTACATTTGGACTGAAACTTTATTATTATAGACCTGTTTTGTTCCAAGTCTTTTTCTCTTTCATTTAATTCTTTGGCAAGGTAGTCATTCTGTCAAGAAAGAAAGAAAAAGAGGAAAGGAATGAGCAAAGATATTAGATTTCCCTTTTTTAACAGACTTCAGATTTTAAAAAGAACAAAAACTATGGAGAAGTTTCTTAAAGTTGTTAAACCGTACAAAAAACACATTTTTGTCAACTTGGAATACTGTCTTTCACACATTCTAAACAAAATATACAGGTGAGTTTTGTAATAAGACAAGTAACAGTCAAATACTGCAAATCCTTGTAAATCCAGTCATAGATACTAAATGCTTGAAAAATACTTATCCGACTCTTAATGAAGCTTTTGATTATATTTTTCTCACTACCTCAAACTTCTGGCTCCTGCAATTCTCAAGCTCTAGTTCTGTATTTTGATTCAGTGTATTCTTGACGAAAAAGTTTCTCAGTATCTGCTCATTCTAAAGAACAAGTAATCATTAATGTTTCATTCATATTTTCAACAACTAAAGTTATTGCGAGCGATTTTTTACAATCCAGTCTAACTATTTACAGCTCCAAAATTTATCTATCCAAAAGGCTGTCTACCTGCAACATAGCTAGAAACCACTGTATATTTCTCCCTTCAACAACACTGGGGTTAGGGGCGCAGAACCCTATGTAGTTCAAAAGCTGTTTATAACTCTTATGTCCCTCAAAACATAACTACAAAGCATTAGTACATACACACACTCCCTTCTATGGGGGTTCTCTTCCATAGTGCTGACAATCCTTTCCATACAGTACCATGTGTAATCAGCCTTAAAAGTCCTTATGACTACCAGATCTAGAGGCCAAATGAGAGATGATAGGTTTGGGGGTAAAGTAGACAAACTCGACCGCCTTCAGTGTTGAATTCATGGAGTTCTGGGTGGCCAGGGGCACAATATCTATTTATTTATTTATTTATTTATTTCCCAAACCATGCTGTTCCTGTGCAATTCAGTTCTCACATCTAGCTTTTTCATTTTTTATGCATTTTATTTAAAATAATGCAGATTGCCTACATGCATTGACTATCTGGTCATAAATGCAGTACATACATAACTGTAAAGTTCCAGCAGAATCATATACAATTAAGATGCCTCACCTCTGATCTAAGAAAAATTAATTCACTCTTCAGCTGCTTTATGACAGTCTCAACTCGATCTGTCTGATACGCATTTACTGTCTGGCCACAACCAAGTCCTTCTTTCACATGATCTACTGACCACGATTCTGGAAAATACACCTCATCTTTTCCTGGGTCTTGCAAATCAGTTCTCAAATCTAGTAATTTTATTTCAGAATTGTCCTCCTCATCTTTCAGCAGAATCTCCTGCACTACGTAAGATGACACCGGCTTGCCAAGCAGAGTAAGAGGCAGCCCACCCTGGAAATCCAGGGACAGTGTCTTCGCAGCATGTAGTGGCATATGGATATGGGAATGAGCTTCAGACTTCTTCATCTGCCTTTCCTGCCTCTGTACCTCTTGTCTTGAACTAGTACTTTCTTTTCTTTCCAGAGAAGAAAATGAAACTGGACAGTCTACTTGTAGTTCATTCAGTTTTTTATAATTCACTGGACATAATGCTGTCCCTACTGTTTCTGTTGACTCCTTCCCTAGAGAACTGTAAAGCTCATCTATTGTTAAAGCCTTGGAGCCATCACTCTTTTTCTCCACTTCTACTTGTGAAGCAAACTGAGGACTCCACTGAAAAAAGAGGGAAAGGAAAATAAATGTAATCATGTTTTAGACAAAAAAACTTTTAAATATTCTAATTCTTCTCAATAGATCCTGTAAAGTGTTTGGTATTTATTGCTGTATCCTCTAACTTCTGAGGAGAAAAATGATGATGTTTTAACATGCCACAAGCTTTCCATAGTGTTATACAAACTGTTACCCTTTATTAAGAACACAAACAAAGCTTAGTATTCCACTTGCTAGCACAAGCAATTGACAAGACGGTCAAGCATTATCAAAGAATGTTTAATATAGTATCATTGTAAAAATGCCTTCTTAAAGTACCATAATAGTATTCTAATTTAAGAAATCAAGCTAAAATGGAATTTACGATAGGCACAATTTGTCTCTTTACCTTTGCTTTAATGTCATCAATGTTAGCCGTGCTCATGAACTCAGATTTCCCCCTTTTCATCTTCAGATCTTCTGTAAAGGTATCAATCAGCTGCAGATCATCTGTATCCAATCCTAATGAGTACAAAATTAACAAGTAGTATATTAAAAATTAAATTCTAATAACTAGAAGCCAACATGGATTTGTCAAGAACAAATCTTGCCAGACTAATTTCATATCATTTTTTGATCAGGTAAACCCCCTGGTAGATGGTGGGAATGCTGTAGGCATAATAGATCGTGACTTAAGCAAAGCCTTTGACAAAGTGTCTCATGATACAGTATTCTGATCGGCAAGCTAGGTATGGGCTGGACAGAATAACTATCAGGTGGATCCTCAGTTGTTTAGAGAATCATACTCAGAGAGTGCTTATCAATGGCTTCTTCTCAAACTGGGAAGAGGTAACAAGTGGTGTACTGCAAGGACTCAGGCCTGGGCCTGGTGATCTTCAACATTTTTATTATTGACTTGGATGAGGGAGTGCAGAGAAAACAAAATTTGCAGATGACACAAAATTGGGTAGAACAGCTAATACTCTGGAAGACAGAAACAAAATTCAGAAAGATCTTGATAGGCCTGAGCTGAAAATAACAGAATGAAATTTAACAGGGATAAGTGCAAAGTTCTACATCAAGGAAGAAGAAACCAAATGTACAGTTTCAAGATGGATGGTTCTTGGCTCAGTAATACTATGAGTGAGAAGGATCCTGAAATTGTTGTAGATCACAAACTGAGTATGAGCAAAGAGTACGATGCATCAGTTTATCTCAGTGGTTCCTAATCTTGGGTCTCCAGATGTTTTTGGACTAAAACTCTCAGAATGCTTCACCACTAGCTGTGCTGGTCAGGATTTGTGGGAGTTGTAGTCCAAAAGCATCTAGGGACCCAAGGTTGGGAATCCCCTGGGGTTATTTAAATCCATTTCAGTCTGGACTCAGGTGTGATTATGGGACTGAAGATAGCTTTGTTTGCCTTTGCAGATAAGCTACACTAGACAACATGGTTGTGCCCCTGTTAGTTCTGCTTGACATCTCAGAGACTTTCAATAAATCAGAGTTGAGACTTAAAGTCTTCAATTTTGTGAGAAAAGAAATTAACAAGATACTAGTCTAAAATATTCTATTGCCTCAAGCACTACCATACTTCAAAAGATAATAAGAGCCAGCCTACCTAAAGTTGCAGCTCTCCTTCCTTTCTCCTGAGCAAGTCTACGAATATGTTGTTTTAGGGCAACTCTTTCTTCTTCCAGTCTTTCAATCTAAAAAGCATTTAAACATACTTTATTTCTCAACAAAATGTATTTTGATGATAAATTTCAATTTTAATTTATTACTTGCCTCTTTAAGTAGAATCTGATTCTCAGCCTTGTACTGCTGCTGTTTTAATGCTTTACTACTTTTAAATTCAGATAAATCAATAATTGTCTTTGGATCAAGGCCTGAAATGCAACATGCATCTGTATTAGATAATGATGGAGTGAGATACAAAAGAATGAGGGGGGATTCTCTTTCCATACAGCATCTTGCCATTTCTCTTTTTGCCATTTCCCATCTTATTTTTTTTATTTATATATTCCCTTTTTCTGATAGGGGAACCCAAGAAATTTTACAACTAAGGAACCCTTAGTTGAAAAAGGGTTTTCAGTAACAAATGATGACTTCTATATCTCAGTTCAATTTTTTAAAAATATCAATTGAAGTTTGACAGAGAAAACAGCCACAGTTAGTTAAGACTTTTTAAAGTTTTTTTCAGAAACACAGCAGAATTAAATATCTAAACATTTAACATGATATATACCTAGTCGCTCCCGGAGATCTTCATTTTCATCAAGAAAATCATTTATTTTAAGTTCAAGCCTATTAATCTCTTTAATCAATGTTTCAATCTCACGGTCTCTTATTTTAACTTGTGTTTTCAAATCTTTTATTTCAGCAACAGCATCTTCCAAGCCATAAATCCCCTGAAAAAATAAAAGACAGTTGTTTTTGTCTATACCGTCAATATTAACACCAAGAAATAACAAAATTCCATTTAGTAAAATTACACATATTTGAAGCTTTTCAGAAAGCCTGGAGTCATAACAACAAAACACTAAACCTATTAACTGCCTTAAAGTTTGATAGTTCATTCACTGGTAAACTTGACATGGAAGAAAGTGAGCACTTTGTCATGGTGTATGACAGCTAGCATTTCCTTTAGAAAGATACTTTGATTTGCCCCACTCCGTTACCAAGCTGAAGGATGTGCTTCCTCCTTGCTTTCTACAGTTTCTGTACTATGATCTACGTTTCTGCAGGAGTGAAGGAAAAGAGCAAGAGACAGCAGGCAAGTTGCTCTAAAAGGAGATACAACCCAGAGGTATGGGAATCAAAGTGTTTTAAGTGTGTGAGAGAAAATGAAAATGAATTGATGGGTAGAATAAATATAGATATAGATATCTTATACATATGTTTGAATGACTATGTGTGAGAGAGAAAGAATGGGGGACAAAAGAGACCGGGAAAGGCAGCACAGAGAGAATTATGGGTGTACTCATCATTTCTCTTTACTGATAGTACATGCAATCAAATTTCTCTTTGTGCTTTCAAGTTTGCTCTGTTAAGTTAAAGTACATACAGTTTCATAATTTTTCATTCGCTTCAGAGTGTCAATAAGCTCTTTGTCTTTATTCCTTGCATCAGCTTCTGCTAGTTCCGCTACCCTTTCAGCCTCCTTGGCTTTCTGTTCCAGTATACGCAACTTTTCTTGAATTTCCTCAGTACAATCCTGTTGCGTAACAGAAGCCAGACCTGGGGAGGAAAACAACAATTGATGTCCACAGTGCATTTGTTTTTTATTTGAGAAATCTTAAGTGAGAAACTGACATTCAGTGTAATACACTGAACTGCATTATAAATACCAAATAAGAAAATACAGTGGTGCCTTGCTTAGCAATCTCTCCGTTAAGCGATGAAATCGCTTAGCGATGGGGTTTTGACCATCGCCAGAGTGATCGCTTAGCAATGGCCCCTATGGGGAAAAATTGCTTTGCAATGATCTCAGGAAAGTGATCATGGCAAAGCGACCCTTTTTGCACAGCTGATTGGTGGTTCCAAAATGGCCGCCCGCTGTTTTGCCTCGCTTTAGAGGCACCGAAAATCGCCGCCCCTATGGAGAATCTTCGCATAAGGTCAGTTTTTAAGCCCACAGGAACGCATTAAACACATTTTAATGTGTTTCTATGGGCTTTTTAAAATCGCTTAGCGATTAAATCGCTTAGCAACATTTTTCCTGGAACCCATTAACGTCGCTAAGCGAGGCACCACTGTAGTTGCTATCTTAATCAAAAGAAGTACTGGGTTGACCTGACCTTCACTTTTAGCAAGACCAGGCATATTCAAACCATCATGGCTTGCTTTCTACTCTACCAGGACTACCATGTTTTTACAAAAATAAGACAGGGTCTTACATTAAATTTTGCTCCAAAAATGCATTAGGGCTTATTTTCAGTGGATGTTTTATTTTTTTTTTCGTGTACAACATTCTACATTTATTCAAATACGGTCACATCTTCTTCTTCTGGTTACTGCACAATGGTGGAGGGTGGGGTTTCACTTAACTGGGGCTTATTCTTGGGGTAGAGCTTATATTATGAGCATCCTGAAAAATCATACTAAGGCTTCTTTTCAAGTTATATTATTTTTGAGGAAACAGGGTATGTGAATCTGATAACCCACTCCTTGCTCTGTTATTTTCCAGCTGCTCTGCTTATTGCAATGTCACTCTATGTTCACAAATGCACTGTAAGACATACTGCAGAAAAGATAATGTTCAAGAAAGATTTAGAGATTATTTTGAGATGACACAGGCATAATGTGCCACAGAAACATATGTTTCTCCTCCAGTCATTATGATGTATTGGCATGAACATTATTTAAGTCTAACCAACCATCTTATCTTATGAGAAGAGAAAACTCCCTGGAACAGCCCCTGATGTTGGTAAAGTGAGAAGGCAAGAGGAGAAGGGGACAACAGAGGATGAGATGGTTAGACAGTGTCATCGAAGCTACCAACATGAATTTGACCAAACTCCGGGAGGCAGTGGAAGACATGCTTTGGTCCATGGGGTCACGAAGAATCAGACACAACTTAACAACCACCATCTTAACCAGGAGTTATAAATATGTTACATACATGTAAATGCACAGAAATAACAAAACACCGTTACCTTTTCCTTTTTCCAAATCATTTTTCAAGTTCTCAATAATCAATGTATTCTTTTCCATTTCTTTTGTATATTGTTCTACCTGTTCAGTGAGCAGTTTGATCTGGCTGTCTCTTTCTTGCAGACCCTGAAAAATTATAATTTGGTACCAAATAAACAGCACCACTAGCATACTACAAAGCTACAGAAATACCCAACATAAGAGATAAAAGTAAAAGTACTTACAATATAGAGTTCAGATATTATCTAGAAGGGTAAGCAAAGGCAGAAGCAGCAGAAGATAAACAGAACCAGAGAAGTAAAAATAAAGTATATATCTTGCATTGTAATAAGAAAAAGATTTATTTTTCTAAGTTAAATTTGGCTTGTTAACATCATGTGAACTTTGCTCTAAATGCAACAATAGCTAGCTATGTGCTCGTTCAAGCAGGGCTGCAAGTTGTATTGACTTATATGTCTTAGAACAGCACTAAAACCTCAAGGGCTTCAGACTTTTGTTCCAACCCCATACCATTTCATACCTTTCTCCATTCCAAGCTTATTCAGGCTACTCAGCATTCAAGATTCCCCTCTGCTACTACCACCCCTCTTGCACACAGACTGAGCTAAGGTGAGGTCTGCACACACAAACAAATCAGATTTTCCACACTTTCTGCTGTATTCCTATTTTTTTCCTGTCAGCGCCCTCTTCCACATATTTTCATTTCCATCTAAGTCAATCTTACAAAAATAGATGACTGATTTCTTCTCTCTCCTGCCATTAGCTAGTGGTGTCAGATCTCTGGCCAATTATTAAGAAACATGGCATGATCTGCCCTCTACTGGTGATGCATTTCTTACATAGGAGTCAATACTGGTGTAATTATGTGTTTTTCAGTGGGGAAAGGCTATATATGTAGCTCATTGGATTATTTGTGGTCATTGTAGTTTCCACCAACACCAGCCAGCATAGGCAGTGGTGAGAGGTAATAGTGAGTTGCATCCCAACAATACCTGTCAGGTGACAAGTTGCTGACCTAAGCCCTTGCTGCTTCTGCCAATTCCTATGAGCGTAGGCTGCCCTGCTCACAGTACTCTCTTCTAATGGGAAGGTCTTGGTTTATCTGAGAACAGCACATGCACTAGTAATTTGCCATACTCAGTTCTGTTTCAATAGGTATTAAGAAACAGCAATGCAATTTCCAGAGGAAACCTGAGAATCACTGGTTATGTACCTAAATCACTGAGGAATCTGTAAAAAGATGCTATAAATTCTTTTCTCATCTGAATTTAATGCTCTTCCTCATGTTTATATTTCAGGAGTAGGCTACAAGAAATGTCTTCTAACCAAATATTTTTCTTTAAACAGCCAATATCCCTTAACCAAAATAATACCTCATCTGGAATATGCCTAATCACTTGCCTATTCCATCCTGATGTACAACAAATAAGAGCTTCTGTTTCAACTTATTGCCATAAGTTATCAAAATGCAGAAAAAGCCCAGTACCTGTTGCAATGCCATAACACTACTCTTGTCAGCATCAAGTTGGGCCACTTTGAGTTTCTCTCTCAGATTCATCAACATTTGCTGATACTCAATGATTTCATCATCTTTGGAAGCCAAGATTTCCTATAAAGTAGAAAAAAGTAAGAAATGAAAAAAGCACAATAAAAAAGCAAAACATAATTCCCAAATTTTAGCTAAAATTGGACCAAATATACCTTCCATTCTTCCACTTTTTCATTTACAGCTGCCATGAGAGGATCATCCTCTTCATTCTTGGCTCTAAGTTGTTCCATTAGCTCATGCACCTGTAAAACATCATTGTCATAAGATCCATGAAAACAGAAGCTATGCACACATTTAAGAACAGGAGTTTTGCCTCAGAAATCAATGGAATCTCATTTGCACTTGCATGCTTTATTTTTGAGATACTGTAGCAGATTTTTTTAATCTACTCAGCAATTGGGTGGCAGATGAGATGATGCTAAAGCTGGAATTATTCAGTAGTCCCCCAGAAAATGCCATCTGTCTAACTTGATTCTAGGCAATTTTGAATGTCTTTTGAATTTGCATAATGCTATTGTTAATACATAGGGACGTGGTGGCACTGCGGATTAAACTGCAGAAGCCTCTGGGCTGCAAGGTCAGAAGACCAGCCATAATAAAATTGCATTCACGCAACGGAGTGAGCTCCCGTCACTTGTCCCAGCTCCTGCCAACCTAGCAGTTCGAAAGCATGTAAAATGTGAGTAGATAAATAGGTACCACCATGGTAGGAAAGTAACAACGTTCCATGTCTAGTCGCACTGGCCATGTGACCATGGAAACGTTTGGACAAACGCTGGCTCTATGGCTTGGAAACAGGGATGAGCACCATACCCTAGAGCAGTGGAGGCAAACCTTTTCCAGCTCGAGTGCCCAAAATGAGGGGGTGGGGAAGAAACCAGTGGCTGCCGTGCCACCCAGAAGACCAGAACTGAACAGGAAGTGGCAGTTTCAGGGGGAATCATGGGGACAGACAGGAAGTTAAAGGGGGAATCATGAGGATGGACAGGAAATTAAAGGACCCAGAACAGGAAGAGAAAGGGGGAATCCCAGCTGCAGGCACTTCAAAAGGTTTGCTGCGTGCCAGAAGAAAGGGCATCTTGTGCCAGCTGTGGCATGCGTGCCATAGGTTTGCCATCACTGCCCTAGAGTCAGATACGACTGGACTAAATGTCAAGGGGAACTTTTACCTTTCTATTGTTGATACAATGTTTTGAAGAGGGCGGGTTGCAAATTATTGCTTACCTGTTGTTTATATTGTTCCTTTTCTTTTCTTAGTTGATCCATGACAATATCAGACTGCTGCACAATTAGTTTCATTTTATTGTACTCGTCAGTCATTTTTTCCATCTCCTGCACTGATTCTTCTAGATTCTTTCTCATTTCCTGATTTTGAGCCTCTAATTTTTCATTAGCTTCAGTCAAAGTCTACAAATTAAAAGCAATTTATAAAAATAGGCTTCCATAAAAGAAAACTATATTTAAGATATATTTTTATATTTATAATGTAAGTTATATTATTATCTTTTACTATATTTCAAGCTGCCGGAATGCAGTTAAGAGAGAAAGAAGATATATAAATTAAATAACTAAATAATTAAATAATCAACCATCATTATTTCACATTGACTACTGGGGTACTTGGTGATTAAAGTAAATGAACAACAATACCTTATTAGGCTGTTACCATGATAAACTATTTTCCTAAATCCCATAAGCCAAATAAGTTTATTATGTCCAAGCCTAGAAAAACATAATTGAAGGAGCAATCCTATACACTTAGCTGAACTCAGGAGGCAAAATCTTGTTGAGTAATTTTTTACCCAGTGTAATCTTGATCAGGTGATTAATTTACACTGATTAAGGGTTAACCCTCTATTTTAGATTCCAAGGCTTCCCAAAGCTCCCTTTTGCCCCGGGAAAGCCTTCGGAAGCCTTTGAAAGTTAAAAATCATCACCAGGTTGTCATCACTTGGAGCAGACGTCTGGTGCTGATCCAATGGTGATTTTTGACTATTAAATGGCAATGTTCTGAGGCTCCCAAAGGCTTTGCCAGGGGAAAAGGGAGCCCAAGGGAGCCTCAAAACCTAAAAGGGTTGGGGTGATAGTAAGCTTTAAAGCAGTGTAAATTAAATGTTTATAGCACCCAATCTGGTTATGCCAGGTACATAATGCAATAGGATTTTGCCCATTGGACAAGAACATACTTACATAGGATTACACTATGTAAAGTGTTATCCCACACATCAAAACACATTAATTAAACATCTTTAGGATAACATATTAGCTTTGTTCTTATTCTCAATGTAAAAGCTTATATTGAAGAGAGAAACCAGGGGGGAAAATCACTCTAGTCTTTTAGGCTCTAATTCTGAAAATACAGAATAAGAGCCTGTAATTTGTAAGTGTTCTGAGCGATTTCTTGACGTTTACCTGAATTTCATCTAGGTACTGGACAAGCTCAAAGTTCTTTTTTGATAATTGCGACCTGTAATCTGATTCTTCTCCTCTTCGTGAAAGAAGTGTTTCTTTCTGTGTATCTATTTGTCTCTGATAGTCAATTACATCTTGACGAAGCTGTTCATTCTGCACAAAAATTGCAAAGATGAGCCAGAGTTTGAGAATTTTGCAGGTAAGATACTGTCACCACTAAAAGCTGAAGAAGCTGTATTAATGAATATTACAGTATCAATGTTTCAACTAGATTCTCTGAAAAAAGCCACCACATTACACAATGCTGTAACTTCTAATTGACTACTTACTAACTTATCTAAGTACTCACTCTCTTCTTCATTCGTTTTTTCTTCCAAAAAAGTAAGGCAGAATAAAATGAAATAAAATCAGGGAAGTATTAAGAAATCATGACTTCGTAGGTAAAAATTAGAAGAGAAGAAAACATAAAAGCCCTCTTTAGGATAATTAGCAATATAATGCACTGCACCAAACAAAACATGTCTCAGTACTATGAGTTTATACTGATAGGTCATAAGAAAGAGTAAATGGTCTCTGTTGTAAAATGAGAACTCTCCTTCCTGTCTACATCAAAATTCATTACCAGCAGTGAATCATATTAACAAAAGTTAAGAGATATGACAAATATAAATAAAATGAAGCACAATGTCTCATAAAATAAACAATGGCAAGGAAAAAAACTATGCATAAAAGACTCATTGTTAGTAACACTAAAAGAAGCAGTGTTCCAATTAACAATCAGATGGATAAAAGGAAAGTTTAAAAATGTTAATGTCTGAATCTTAGCCACTATACTGCAGAATCTTACTCCAAAATATTTAAAATACTTTAGTGATGCACACATACATATATTCACGGGGACAGATTACAAACTTCTTACTACTTACCTCTCTTCTCAACTTGCTGTTTTCATTTTCCGCATCCTCATTTCGAAGAGCAAGCTAGGATGGCAAATTGAGTTAATTGGAAAAATGTTGCAAGTTCAGAATGAACAGCACATCCTTATTTTCCTTTGTTTTCCAAGCATATTGGTACCTCTAGAGTATACAAAAAGTAAACGCTATAATTTTAAGAACTCAGGCTGTTTCCATACATTCTCCATGCTGGTGAATCAAAAACATTATGCATCTTTCTCTTGAATGGACTCTGATTTTGTTCTCTTGAATAGATTTTTGGGGTAAGGAAAAAGATGGACAGAGTAGTGGAAACAGAGTGGTTATGTGAAATATCTGAAATATCTGAAGCCTCTGCATCTTTCAGTGAACAAGACACAGTGGTAACTGAATGAATCAAATAATCATAAAATAATGGAATTGGAAAAGGCCTATAAGGCTACTGACTCCAAGCCCCTGCAGAAATCCAAATCAAACTATATCTGACAGATGGCTGTCTAATTTTCTCCTGAATGCCTTTAGCATTGGGGTACTCACCACCTCCCAAGGTGGGTCCCACTGTCATATTGCTCTACAATTAGGAGTTTTTTTTCTGGCATTCAACCAAAATCTGACTTCCATTATTACATGTTCTGCATTCTGGGATAATCGAGAAAAGATCTTTCCCATATGACAAGTATTTGAAGAGTGCCATCATGTCTCCCATCAGTGTTCTTTTCTCAAGGCAAAACATGCCCAGTTTTTTCAGTCTTTCCTCATAGGGTTTGGCTTCCAGTCCCCTGATCATCCTTGTTGCCCTCCTCTAAACCTATTCCAGTATGCTGGCATCCTTCTTAAAGTGCAGTGTCTAGAACTGGACACAAGACTTAAGATGAGGCCTAACCAGTGTCAAATAGAGGGGAACTAGAACTTTACAGGATTTGGAGATGATGTTTCTGTTAATGCAGTAAAAATACTATTTGTCTTTTTTGCAGTCACATCACACTCTTGGCTCATATGTATGCATCCGAAACACTTTATACAAACTATGAATTATATATCAAAGAATCTTTTGTTACTAGATTTTTTTCCTATTGCAACTGATACTCACAAAACAATGTTATGCAATACAGGCCTTCAGTTTTTTAACTTTTACAAATGTCTACCTGTTCATTGACTTTCTTTTCCTTCTCTAGTTCTTTCTCCATATCTGCCAATTCTCTGTCTTTCTGTTCCAGCTGCCTTCCCAGCTGACGGATCTCATCACGCAAAAAGCGAGTATCACGACCACCAGTAGATCGTTGTGCTGCCTTAATACATCACAACCAAACAATCATTAATGTATGTCCAAGGTAAATTGACAGAACAAAATGTGAACAATTTCTGTCAGAATTACAATGCATACACAATAGACATCCAATTTATGAAAGTGCATTAAATGTTTCTCAATTTATGTAGGAATCAGAAGAAAAATTGGCCAAAATCCTGTTGGTGAAGTTCTATGTGTGTGAAGCTGATAATGTCATCTGCTATGGTCTTTCACCTTTAATTAGAAATTTCTTATTCTGTGGCCTCAGGTTTTAAGGCATCCTAATGATTGGTTTAATGTCTGGAAATCACCACTCCCTGTTTGACAGTCATAATGGCAGCAATTTTCAGACATTAATGGTTCCCCAACCCCCAGTCCTGAAGTCCCCAAAGGCTTCCTCAGTTTATAAAGGATCTCTAGGGTACCTCAGAACCTGGGGGTGGTGTGAGGTGGAAATAGGAAACTTTCAATTAAAGATAAAAGGTGTGGCTGATGGCATCATTAGCCTTATGTACATAGAGCTGTGCCAACAGGATTGCAGTTATTGAAATAAACCTAAATAGCCTCAAACATAACAGCTGAATTACATTAAAATACATTAAAATACATTAAAATTTTAGAACTCTACACATTACAATGTAATACATAGTTTACAAGATGTAGAACAGGACATTACCAAACTGAAGCACTTTTAAATCCAACAGTTTAAAATCATTGGGACTCAAAAATACGTTCATGTTTTATCACCTTAAGCAAATATCTATATTAAAGAATCACTAAAAGGTTAACTACTGTAACTGCTATAACTTTTAATTAGTCTCAAATGAATTCACAAAATAAACAGTATACTTTAAATTTCAACATACCTCTAATTCTTTTTCCAGTTTCATCACCTTACTTTTTAACTTATTTTCTGTTTGGAAAAACAGTGCAAAGTTATCAAACTATAATTTACAAAAGATTCAACTGAACATGGTAATAAACTTTCCTCAGCTAGGGTCATATCTTGCTCCAACTAAAATCACAAAAGATTTCTTATTTAAGTAAAACAGTTATTGCTTGAAAAATTGAAATTAAGATACAAATTATCTGCTAGCTACTCTTAACAAGGCAAAGCATCAGGATTAGACATAGGAACTTCGCACTCAAATCCTGGCAGATACAAATATGAAGCTCAGCGCCACAGGTGTCATGACGGTGCATTCCCTCCCCTCAGAACCATCCAGGTCCACTCACCAGGCTCCTCACAGTGCACATGTCCAACGGCAGCAACACTCTGCCAAACACAGATGTACTCCCGCTGGCGCTGCCCTGCCACTCCCCACAACTAACTTCTCCAGCAAGGAGGCAAGATGATGAATCACCCTGCTCAGCTGCTGAGTGGTGAGCTGCAGGGAGAAGTGGAGCAGCGCTGGCAGAACAACATCCCTGATTGGCACAATGTTGATCCCGTCAGACGCACGTACTGCAAGGATCCCAGTGAGCAGACTGATTGGCACAATGTTGATCCCGTCAGACGCATGTACTGCAAGGATCCCAGTGAGCGGACTGGGCTGGTGCTGGGAGGCGGGAATGGACCACTACGGCACCTGTGGTGCCAAGCCTCATATTCATTATCCCCTGGAATATGAATATGAAGCTGCCACATCTAATCAGGATATACTCTAATAATCTTCTTCCGTTCTAAAATGGGTGCCATCTTGAAAGCGCATTTATCTTTGTACAAAAAAAAATTATGAAGAAATGCAGAGCTAATTCACCATAACCTTTGGAGGCAAATTGTCCTAAGTCATTACTAAGTGCTAATTCACCATAACCTTTGGAGGCAAATTGTCCTAAGTCAAGAAATTACTAAGTCAAGAAATCACCATAACAACTCACAACCCAGTTGACACTAATGTGAAAGTTAGTGACCTGAATGAGTTTACTTCAGAGTTGACATGAATAGGACTGCATTATTAAAGAAGTAGCGTGTTTATAATTAACATGGTCTATTCAAACTAAATCAAATTTAAAGACTGCTTAAGGTTAAAATTTTCTAATCACAATGTTTCTCTTAGTTATAAATGAGAAACTGATATTAAGACATTTCTTGCAGATTTTGGCTCAGCGGATCCTTTGTTCCTCTGTGACGGCATACTCAGATTTTTAAAGCAAACATATAATCTTGCATTTTGGATATCACTGGACAAATACAGATCATTCTTACATCTGGGAACAGTTCAAAACAAACTAGGCTCACTTTATGGCTCACAAAAAAAGTAAATAGGTGGAGAGGGTAGGGGCGCCACATAAGCTGCACCTAAATTCTCAAACCGCCTGTAAATCAGCAAGACCTTTGTGTACTTAACAGAAAGGTGTCTCTGAGCACTAACCACTGCGCCACGAGGCTCTTGTGTGTACTTAATAGAAAGGTGTCTCTGAGTATGTTCAGCTGAATATACTTACAGCACTGTCATGATCAGGAGCACTGACATGGCAGAGCTCTCAGTCACAAGAGCACTGCAAGAACTTCCAGTTCAAGGTACTTTCAACTGCCTTTGCAAACATTTGCATTAAAAACATAAAGGCCTTACTAGGAAAGTGGGGAGGGTTAAGGTGGAGCTTATGTGCAACCCATGGCCCCGCCACACATTTAGCTCTGCACAGACTGAGATATAACATCTGAACAAAGCTCCTCATTATCAACAGTTCAGATTAGAAAATATCACAGAAGTCATGTTTGAACCCTCTAGTGGTCGAAGGCGGAATAGCAGGTTCCCATTAGTTTCTATGGACGGAAAAGAGCAGATACGGATCAAATGGTTTTCAATGCATTCCTATGGGAAATGCAGATTTGACCTGAGAACTTTTTGACTTGATAACCGCCTTCCAATACGGATTAAGTTCTCAAGTCAAGACCCCACTGTAGTAGAATTTTCTATCTATTGGGCTGCACTAGATTTAATATCAGGTACTACTGTTTAAAATTAGTAATACGCATGTGCAAGTGTGACAGAATGTTATGTTTCTACAGAAGGCAGATACCGAATTTTGCTTGCTCTTCTCCAGCTTTCTCAACTTCTTCCAAAGCCAGCTCTACTTCTTGATTTTTCATCTAAAAAAATTAAACAGAAATAATACAAAACAAGTGCTCAAATAATAAACATTTTGCAGGAAATCAGAAGATGTAATCTACATTAAGATGTTAGATGAGACACATGGACAAATTCCTTATATGTATCATACATCTACGGAGAGATTTTGATAATAGGAAAATAAAATTATTACGAATTTGCCCACATATATATCAAATAACCTAATACGTGGCTCAGCACACTAAAAAGCAAGATAAATAGCAGCATTAAGCTATTCAGCCCTACCTTTGCATTTATCCTCAAAACTACTGCGAAAATAGGCCATAAAAGCCTCTACTTTTTTCACACTTGACACAAAAATCAGCTAATAATACAACTGTATGCAAGTCTGTTCCTAAGCAGGTCCCACTGAGTTCAATGTGGCTCACTCTCAGGTGAGTCAAGGGTGCACTATGAATAGATGTTAGCAGTAAAAAAAAACCCTGTAGATTATTTCCTTAATCAACTATACTACCTGAAGACTATGACCAGAATTCTACTATTTATGCCTGCTAGCACCTGTACATTGGCTTGAAGCTCAGCAGCAATTTCCACTAGTTAAGAGGTCAGCACTTGTATCACTGTGAACTAGTCACATGACTTAACATGTGACAAGAAATATAAGTTTTGACATCTTAATCAACAGCAATTTGAGGTTGATTCTTAGGCCATTAGACTTCACACCACCAGGTATAAATTACAGATTTCTCACTTATTAATAACCTTCCAGGGAGTAAATACCTTCTTGTATACCAGAAAGGCTTACTTCAAATTACTCAGGTCCTTTTTTATTAAGCCAAAGGGATCCTACTATAATATAAAGGGATATTAATATAAAGGGATATTTGTCACATTTTTCCTCCAAATGTATTTATTATAAATACTTCAAACCTAAGTGGACACACTGATAAAAGTTATCTGATGAAATGGATTGTAAAATGTAAGATCTGAACTTTCATCATAGTTGAAAATACAGTAATTAAACTTTGCATAAGAAGATTGGTCTCTGCTAAGCCTCTTACAAGAACAATTGCCTTTATTGCTGTCACAGCTGCTGTGTTTTGCTATTACAGTCATCACTTGACCTTTTTTATGGGAAACAATATTGATTGAAGACCAGCCAGAACAGCAACAGAGATTGACATAGGGATGGTTGATAGGAAACGGCGGTGGCAAGATAATTTGCTTTGAATTAGCAGAACAGACTCTGAATCATTGCCTAGCATGGAAACATTTTCATCTGTAAGGGTACACTCTTTTCATGTTCCCTTTTCTTCCCAAGATACTGCCCCCCCCCGCTTAGCCACAGCAGCCCACAATGTGCCCCATGCGCTTTATTGTACAATAAGAAGTGATCACAACATTTCACATCATGGCCAATTATATTAATGGCTGTTTACCAACCAACCAAGATTCCCTCTAAGCCGTGCAGGCACACAGTGCTGCATCAGGCATGCACAGCTGAGCCAGTGTTTCCACCCATTTGCTTCCAGTTATGGCCAGATCCCCACACACACAGGATAGAGCCCCTGTGCAGCACTGCGGAAAACTAGAGTGAAAATTCCAATCAGGTAATTTATTGTGAGATGTGAACTTATAAAGTACATGATCTGCCTTTAGCCTTGCATGTGAAAAAGAAAACCTGAAGTGTACTGATTAGCACTTATTTCTTATGTATTAGTACTTCCAGTGTCATGAGCAGAATTCTGTCAGAAGCAATTACCACCAGAATTTTATTTGGAAATGTACAATTCCTTAAGAAGTCATATAGGAGTGATTAGGATGTAACACTGACCTTCATTAGTGACTGAGAAATTTTGAAGAGTTGAATTAAACGTTCAGGGTTCACATCCTTGATGTCATTTCCATCAACCTAAACATAAATGTAAAAAGTACTTTTCAATATTAACAACACTGGGTACTCTAAACATACAATATCTCTTTAGTCATACAAAATAGTAAACTCATAGAGCAAAATACCTTGGCTACCATCTCGAACAAATTATCTGCTAGCTCTTCTTGACGAGGCAAAGCATCAGGATCTACTCTCATTATCTTCTTCCATTCTAAAATGGGTGCCATCTTGAAAACTCATGTGCCTTTGTACAAGAAAAACAAAAAATACAATTATAGCCAGACATAATTTTCCATAACAACTTACAAAGAAAGTGAACTTTTATTAGATATTGACCCAAATCCTTTTACTTAGTTACACTAGTATAGCAAATTATGTAACTTTTGGAGGCAAATGGCCCAAAGTTACAAAATTACTGTAGACATAGGTAAAGGTAAAGGTTCCCCTTGACATTTAGTCCAGTCATGTCCAACTCTAGGGTGCAGTGCTCATCCCCATCTCTGAGCTGTAGAGCCAGCGTTTGTCCATAGACAGTTTCTGTTGTCACGTGGCCAGTGCGACTAGACACGAAACACTGTTACCTTCCCGCTGTGGTGATACCTATTTATCTACCCGCATTCACATGCTTTCCAACAGCTAGGTTGGCAGGAGCTGGGAATAGCAACGGGAGCTCACTGTGTCGCGTGGATTCGATCTTACAACGGCTGGTCTTCTGACCCTGCAGTACAGAGGCTTCTGTGGTTTAATCCGCAGCACCACCATGTCCCTCACTGTAGAAATAATCAGTTGCATACTGAGTTTTATGGTTCAGTATTCAACAACGTCTACAGTAATTTCTTGATTTAGGACAATTTGCCTCCAAAGGTTATGCCATTTGCATAACTATGCAAAAGGATTTGGCCAATATATTTAAAAAGCAAATACAAAAGCATTATTAGAATCTAAAGTTCTTCATCCATGAGTTCAAGTCTTTCAGTATTAATTTCATTTATAGCACCCTGACTTTTAGAAATCAGTCTGGAAGACTGCTGAATTTCAGGAATGCCATGAAAAGGAACTGAGGCACAGCTGCAGAAGTGGATAAGAAGAAAGATAATGGGCAAATCTTGTTTAAAAATAGCATCTGGAAAATTCGCTTCTCCACTGAAGTGATAGTCCCAAGCTGCAGGTGAATAGGTAGAAGATGTAAGAACAATGTTAATAAGGACAAAGTAATGGATGGCTAGATTCTTTACACATGCAAAGAATGATCTTATGCATGTTTAAGAATACAGTATGTCTAGTAAGAGTTGTTGATGCTATGTATGAATGAAATTTTACCAACAAATTCAATGGGGCTGTGGGAAACTATCAGGAGCCATTGCACATCCTCACTCCCTTAACTTGAGCAAATGGCTGTGTGAGGCTCTGAACTTCTGTAGAAATAAGGCAATGTCCTAAAAAGCAGTGATTTAAAAAGCAGGTGATCTAGGGAGATTTCCCAGCCTCTCAAGGTGGAGCCACAAGATCTCAGATGCTGGAGAGAATAGGGGGAAGGAAATAGGGGGAAAGGAAGGAGAGAAATTTTTGCCAATACCAGTAGGCCACTGCAGTCTCCATGTGAATGTGAAAGGCTGTCAACAATGGCTGTGCTTTACACTGGCAGGTTCTGGTCACTCTGGTATTCTTGCAAGAGGATCTTCCTGCTACACTGCCAAATGAGTTCTTAAAAGATTGACCCATTCCCAACTCTTGGCCCTCAGCAGCCTGATTTCCTTTCAGACTACAGCCCTCAGGAAAGGATCTAGCCTCCAAGTACAACGTTCAGGGGCCTAAACCAGCCCCAGTATATCAACACGATGGCCAAGACCGTGAGCAGCACTCCCTTGTGTCAGAGACACACACCATGAGATCACACTAAATCAAACCTTGTTAAGAGCCTATTCTGGCTGGAGGGCGGAGTCCAGCGCCTGTAAGAAGCATCCCAACGAAATGCGAACGCTACCCTCAGCAAAGTTTATTATGGTAAATCTGGGCCAGATCACAATCCTAAAAACAGGCGCCACGGTATTTCCCGGTTAAACCCGCACACAACTGTGTGTGAAAGCCTTCTTCACGAGCTTCAGAAATCCTTTCACACAGGGAACAGAGAACAACCGACAGCTTCCCCCACGAACAACCACACGCCCCTCATTGTCACCAGCAACTTCAACTAGAAAAATAGATGACGTGCTTTTTATGTAGAAACCCAGCAAAACCCGCTCCCTCTTCAGGGCAGCTTTGCAAAAGTGGATAATGAGGGAAAGCGGTTTAAGGGCTACGAGGGCAACCCCCGCACCCCACGCTCGCCCCTTTCAAAGGTCCGTGGGCTGCCGCCCCCCATGTCTCCCCACAGCGCAGCTGACCCGGCCAGCCGCGCCTACCCGTCTTTGTTTTCTTCATTATCCCACGGAAGTCTCCCGCCTTTCCCTCGCGCTTGCCCCAGCCCTCGTTATCGCCTGGCTCCTCACTTACTTCCGTAGCCGATGCGGGAGGGAGAGGAGGCGGAGGAGGAGATGGCCGCTGCTAGGCGACGCCAGCAAACAGTCCTCGCCCGGAGCCGAAAGGACCCGGATAGTTTTAAAAGGGAGCGACGGACCGCCCAGTCAAAACTCCCGCGGGACTCCCACCTCCGGAGGGGACCCTCTCGATAGTCCCGGCTGGAGACTACACTTCCCAGGATGCTTTGTGCGGCCAGCTGCTGCCTCAAAATGTAAGCTCCGGTGAGAGCAAGAGGATGCCGCTTCTTGTGGGATCAGGAGGGCTGAGCTGAAAAGTTTAAGACAAAGAATATAGGGAAAAGTGGGAGAAAATGATTAAAAATACCTTCACGGAAGAGGGCAATAGTGAAGGACTACATCCCCCAAGGTGCCATACGCCGCCCAAGCAGGCTCACTTTTCTGACTCTTCGCCGCTTGGAATGCTGGGCTTAGAAGTCCCGCTGGACGGATTCCCAGCATCCATTATGGGTGACCGAGTAAGCGCCTGCGTAGTTCGGGAGGGAGTTTCTGCTTGCCCGCTTCATGTTCATGCCTCACGTCGGGGACGGGGAAGGGCTGAGTGGCGGAACGAGACATGGCGGAGAAGGCATTCATTCCTAGGCTCATCTGGAGAGAGGGTCATGCGGCATAAGAAAGCCCAAGAGAGTCTCGGGTCGGGGTCCTGCTTCGGGTGGCTGGTGCTTGTGGTTTTCCAGCGAGGTAACGTCAGAGGATGAATAGGAACGGGGCGCGGGAGGATGGGTCCCGTAGTCGTCTTTTTTAAGTGTGGAGCAATAAGAGGGAGCAGACCTTACGGTAGTGTAACGATGCCCTCGTGCTTTCAGCATTGCACAGTGATATTTAAATACAACTTAGGAGCTTACCGTAGTCATTCAGATGGCACTCGTATCTTTTACTGACAGCCTTACTGACATCCATGAAGTACTCGTCAGGTCTCGTGAAGATATTCACACGTGACGCGTGTGAAAACCTCGGTTCTGTTGCAGGTTCTCTGTACTGTTTCGATGCAGGGTGCTTATAATATGGGAGTAGAGTAATTACACGTGTTAAAACCTGAATTCTATTTCAGGTTCTTTGAATCCTTCCGTGTAGGACACTTATAATATAGGAGTAGTAACAATGTATTCCAGTAAGGAACTCAGAAAAGACACTGGGAGTATGGAACTGGTAGGCTACTTCTTAAATATCTCCCTTACCTTGCTTGAAAGCCTCGTTCAGGTTGCTATAAGTTGGTTCCAGCTTGATAGCTCATAACAACAATACCAATGTACCACATGGTAATGTTATGTTTATCTAGCCACATAGTGTGCTGTGACCTCAAATCAAAGGTAGTGTCATGTGTGTTGCACTCTGGTGCAGGTTTACTCACAAGCAATTCTCACTGTGTTTGGTTGCCCCCCCCCCCGGCAAAAATGTTTATCATTGTTGTGTAATGCATCATTGATGTTAATGAGGCATAGAATAATTCTCGTCAGGACTTGGAACATGACTGACTCTGAAATTGAACCAAAATACAGTATGTGAACAGCGATGCACAAGCTTTTCAGAGAGTATATGAGGCTTTTTCTTGTCGATTTTATCAATATCAAATTGTGAATTATAATTAATTATATATTATGTGATACAAATTAAAGCATGCAATATTAAAGTGTGTTTTTCTGTCACAGTTCTATATGTAGCAGTATTTATTTGTGACAGAATCCCCTGGGGAAGAAATGCGTGTATATGTACGAGAGAATAGTAATGGCATTTAAGTCGGTACTTTGGCATTATATTACTTCAACATTGATAATTCATTATCTGGGTTTAATTTTTGTAAGTGATAACTGATCAGGTTAGCTGACCTCTACAAACTATGAACTGTTGGAAGAGACATGGCTAATACATTCATGCAAACATAGCTCCGATTGATGGGTCTTCCCTTCCCCCCATGTCTTTGAGATGAGGAGAAATGCTTCTTTGCTTTGTTTGTCCTGTTACTGTAAACTGCCCTTAGCCATTTGGTTGACAGGCTGAATAGCACTTGAGCTATTCAGCAATGCTGAACCAACCCTCCTCTTTCTAATGGTCTGCTTTCATTATTTATATAATTGTTGGCTGGATTTTGAACATAAGTCTAAGAAATATCAATCTGCTATATGTAAATATTATTGATATCATCAACCTTTCACTTCTCAGATTGTCTCTAAGTACAGTTAGATAGATTATAGCTATTCCATGAGTGCATTACTGGACTTTTATATGATGATGTAGAAGATTAAATGCCCAAATATATCAGAATAAACATTTAAAATAATTAATGCAATGCAGAATTTCCAACAAACAGAGCAAAAGTAACATTTGACTCCATTCCAGTTTTTCAAAGTTGCTTTTATCATTTACAGTGATTTAGGCAACAATCCAATAGTTTTCCTTCTTTGAAAAGCAGACCCAAATGCCATATGACAAACTTTCAAAGCTGATCTGAACTAGGTATGGGACTTTTGGATTTTTGGACTCCAGCTCCCAGAATTTGCCAAGAAATAAAAGTCCCCAAGCCAGCTTTTCTCATCTCCCTCAGTGGTGCTGTCATTTTCTTTTTGAAAGAAAGAAACTGCCCCAGGATTTACTGGAAGTTGCAAGGCTTCATAGGAGACCAGTCTTTAGAGCCTATAGGGCAGTGAGAATATCTGTCCCATAAAGTCTTGCAGAGTCCATTAAGTGTGGGGACAATTTCCTTCTTTTTGAATGTAGGATCACAGCAATAGAGCCACCAATGGGAAGAGAGAAAACCTACCCTGTGGACTTTAAATTTTTGGCTATACAGTATCTCCAAAACTTTTGCATAAGGACTTCTTCACAACTTCTGGAAGTTGCAGTAAAAAACAACAACTGAAAGTCCCATTCTTGGTCTAAATCTTAAGAGTAAAAACACCAGCCAGAAATCACATTGTATGTAGGGTTATAGCTGAATGAAACAACACTGGACTCTGTGTGCACTTGTGAGATGGTGGATAGCTGCATGTTAGAACTGTGCATTTCATCTGCTTTTAGATGTTAGAAATACTTAGCCAGTATTATAGAAAGTTTATTTTCCTGAGACATTGATGGAGATCCTGTGGCACTCAATATAGGTTGTTGACTTGCATGTTTCATGAGTCCCTGCCAGCATGACCACCAACCAGGAACAATAGAAAGGTTCCCCACCACCTCATGTGTAGTTCTTCAAGTTAACTCTTCTCTCTTTTTCCTACTTGCAAGTTAAATGCCACTGTTGAAAAATCTGTATGTTAGTCAAGATGTGTACATCAGGAAGTTGCCCTGTGCTTTCACTGTCAATGCCCAGATGCAGTTACCTAAAGCCTGTGGTGTAGTATTGTTATTTAATATTTTGTAGCTGACCTCTCTGTTCATGGAGAGCCCAATGTGGCAAATTTGAAAGCAATAATCAGAATAAGATAAATTAAGAACAAAAGTTAAAGATTTAAACCCCAGGAAATGAAATAAATGTTACTTGTGTACAAGATGACCAAGTGGGGAGCTGTTGGATCTCTAACGGGAAGCACTTCAGGGCCATGCCACTGTTGCTAGAATGGCTTTGTGTCTTGTTCTCACTTGCCTATGAGATCATGCCATACCAGGAGCATGTCTGAGACTCATATTCAAATAGGGGGGTAGGCAAAATGCAGCCCCCTGTGCATTGCTGTGTGTTCATTTTTAGTGGCCCAAGCTGGCATAGCCAGTGATAAGGAATGCTGAAAGTTGCAATCTAGCAACATCTGGTTAGCTACAATTGTCTAATATTGTGTTAAAGCCTGCGAGCGGTGAGTGCTTGAGGTAGCTAGATTCATGACTCATGACTAGGGCTGGATTGTGTAAGCAAGTAAATGAATAAATTAGAACAAAGTTGAAATTATATATCCAGTTGTCAGTCACCAGATTAAAAATGGACCACTCTGTTTTAAACCAGTTGAACTTTATTTGTACTTCTGTTCATCACTGCAAATGAAGTGACACTGTGTTTTCCCAAATTTGTCATCTGAAAAACAATTATTCCAGCTCACAGTAGAATCATAGAAAAGTGAAGTTGGAAGGGGCCTACATGGCCATCATGTCCAACCCCCTGCTCAAAGCATCTCTGCCAAGTGATTATCTAAGTTTTTCTTGAATGCCTCCAGTGTTGGAGCACTCACCAGCTCCCGAGGTAACTGGTTCCACAGTAAAATTAGGAGAGGGATTTTGCATTGTTCCGTTGTTTTATCTGATATAAAAAGTGCCTGACTTAGATTTCTGTATCTAGCTGCAAAGAATGTTATGTTCAGACACACAATGTTTTGTAGTATTGTATCATCTCAATTTCATTGTTTCTGATTTAGCCATGGGAATCTCTTCAGGTTGGGCTAGGTCTTATTTTAAATTTTTTTCAGCAAAATGGAGAGTCTTGCTAGACAAAAGATATTCTTTTAAGGAGAGCTTTTTTAGAGATACTATATTAGTATGGGCTTGGGGTGGGGGGAGAAGCACAGTCATCTTTGTTTCTGACCAAAGGATTTGTGCAAATCTGGCTGTGTACATCCCACTAACCTTGATATACTTTTTGGGCTACATACAAAGACCTCTGACAATTACAGAGAGACATTCTAGGTCATGTTTTTAAGCAGCTCTAAGGAATCTTAAGCTATGGATTAGTCTGACTCTAAGGAATCTTAAGCTCCTGGTTAAGAGGAATGCTGGTCAGAGGTGTGATTTGTCATGTTTTTGGACTTCACTTCCCAGAATTCTCTAGGAATTGCAACCCAGAAATCAAAATTAACATACCTGCGTGTTTCACCCTAACCCTGAGGAGGGCTTTTGGTCATTTACCTTCACCATCAGCTCTTCTGGCCTTATCGTTTCCTGTTGCTGATTGGTTTTTTAAAAAGACAAAAAAGCAGCTGCCATTGTGCTTCCTGAGAGTTATAATTCAGAGATACCCTGTGTAGAACCTAATGGTAGTGAGACCGGGACCCCCAGGAAACACTGCAGCGGCTTTAGGTTTTTTTTTTTCCAAAAATCAAAATACGTATTCCTATGATAAGCCTTATTAATTCATTGAGGTTCATTAGTTTCTGAAGTACTTGCAAGAAGTTTGGGCAACAGCTATGGATACTTCAGTAAGCATGTGCAGTCAAAATTTATGAACATTTTCCTATCTCAAATGAGAATTTTTTAAGCATCTTTGAATTGATTGTTGTTGTTGTTGTTTAGTCGTTTAGTCGTGTCCGACATTTTGTGACCCCATAGACCAGAGCACGCCAAGCCCTCCTGTCTTCCACTGCCTCCTGGAGTTGGGTCAAATTCATGTTGGTTG